GTTAGCTGATAGGGGACCTCTGCATGAATCTCTCCTTGCTCTCCATTCTCTGTCAGTTTTCTCACTCCATTTGGTGCTTGGCTAAGTTCTTTACCTCTTCATTTGATGTTTTAGGGTTTCAGGATTGTTGTTTTCTCTGTTCGGCTTAGTTTTTCGGATCTTTGCTGGGGAGGGACAGCGTGGTGCTTCTGCTTAGAGAGCCATTTTACCGGAAGTCGCCTGGAGCATTTTTTTAAGTCCCATATTAACTACAGCACAAATGCTCTACAAAGCTAACAATAAAATAAATAGTGCCTAATACACAGTAAGCACACAGTAAATATTTATCAAACAAACAAATGGAACAAAGAGAGTTAATAGGTACTGGGCTGGAAGGAGAGTTGTGGGGAGCTTCGGGACAAGAAGGAAGATCTGTATGAAGGGATTGCTTTGCATAACACATCACACACACACATCCAAGGAAGTTCTGCAGGTGAAGGTTCAAGCTGGTGTGTCTTGCAGAGACGTGGAGGCCCCCATGCATGCTTTTATCATGTCTCTGCTGGGTCTGTTATTCATTATTTGTGCATCCACTTGCCACTTCCCTCCTAGGTTTTCATCTTATAAAGAACCTCGTTAGGTCCAGTTCTCTCTCTGCATAGCCAGCTTGTTCCAACAGAACAGAAGTCACTTCCAGCAGAGAGGATGCCTGGATCTTGGTTACCAATTTGACAGAGTTTACAGTTTCCAGGACATAGTCTTGCTGCCCATCCTCAGCATTTGAAAAGGGAATGTGATATTTATGTCCACAGGGCTTTTCTTACCTTGCTTTCAACTTGAGGGGCTTCAATTTCTTTAAAACATTGACCCTGGTCTTGAAGCAAATCTAAATTTTTAGATACAACTTTCAGGCTGGCCTATTTTTTGTGGCTCTCACACTCAATTTTAACTTTACTGTTAACATCTGCAAAGTGCTTTGAGATGTTTTCCAGAAGGATGCAGTATATATCATTTGATTGATGGTTCAATCAATGAGTGGCCCTTCCCAATGATACTCAAAGTACTTAGCTGAGCGCTACAAATGCATCTCATGTCCTGTATCCAAAATCTTCATTACCACAAGAAACTCTACCAAACTTGAGAAAGACTTGAGACCACTTTTAAGGAAATATGAACTTTTTCTTTACCGTCAGCAGTGCATAGGTAATGACATATATGCATTGTTTATATGGTATACACACAGTATTCTTATACATAAACACAATTATTAAAAAGTGTCAGTTTAAGAAAATCATGAGAATTAACAACATAGTTTTTGTTTGGAATGACTTGGCAACAATATACTATTTCAATTTACATACAAAATTCTTATGAAATACCAACTGTTGTGTGGTAAAAATGTCACATTTCTAATGCTTAACTTTCCAAGGTAATGAAGGAAAACTGTAGCACGGAGAACTTAAAATAGTAGAAAATGTAAAAACTTCTAAATTTGATTTTCTATTGCATTTTATGTTAAATGAACCTAAATTTGAGAGGTATTTTACCAATTACAGTTTCTTATAATTTAAAATATCCTTCTCTGCCTGAGTGATGAGAAAGAGGCAAAGGAAGGAAGAGGAGGAAAGAAATTCATATGAAAACTTGCCGTGTCATTCGAAAACAAGGCAAACCTCATACCAATAACAGGTGATTGTACTTGTACTTGAAATTTTTACTGCTTTCGCTAACAATCATAAATAGTATAGACTCTGAAAGATTACATAAACTTTACAAACTTAATTTACAATAAAAGATAATGATTAAAGCAATATAAAACTTAGCTGGAGTTCTTAAAATTGGAATTTTCAGGATTCTGCCAAAAATTATCATATGGCTCTCTTTAAACAACTTTTCCGTGAGCAAAATTTCCAAGAAACTACAGAAGTAACACTGACCTTTCCAATAACAGAAAAAAATAAGGACCCCAGATTGCAAAGAACTAATCAATGCTTACCATTAAACTTTTAAATTTTCTATTTTCTGCAATGTGAAAAAAGCCATCTCTTGTTAAAATCTTGATGTGCTTTGCTTCATTATTATACCTGTGGGCAACGAATAACTTATGAATATAAATGTGTTTTTAATCAGTAGAAATCAATAATGACCAGAGGCCATGCCCCCATAACATTATAGGAATTAATTCTGAAAACAAAATAAATACCAATGCCAATATACTGCTGACAGCTAATTAACCAAATATATTTACTAGAGTGGTTGAAGATAACAACCAGCATTTAAGGTGAAGAGAAGGGTGGAGGAGGATTTACGTTACTCTTTATGCCTAATTTGTTTAGTAAATTCGCTTTGAGAATGCAGAAAAACAAAGCAGAACCTAGTAGCTTTATTCTTAGAATTTACTAGAAATAAACACACATCAAGTCATCAAAAATACAATGTTATGAAAGAAATCTAATATGCCAATTAGCAGCCTATAACACTTATTACTGTTCTTCTAACAGATATTTCCAAGTATTAATGAACTGTCTGGATAGATGTATTATTTCTGCTGCAATTAGAACCTTGGGTTTCAACTTCAGTGTTATACATGTCACATGGTCTATGCAATTACAAAAACAGGAAATCTACTTCTGTAAAAGTACTTGTCCTACTTACTTAATGCTAATTGCATATTCTCCTGACTCTTTGGTCCTGTGCCTCACAAGGTAAGTACTATTTACCCTATTAATAAGTTCAGTCTCTGCCTGCAATCTTTCCATTGCTCCAGCATACCTGTAAGAAACAACGACACAGAAAATTTTGGATAATATACCTGAAAGAGAACAGAGTCTAAAAATAAGCATCTATCAAGATTTTAATTTAGTGGCAGATCTGAGCTGTTCTTTACTTCTATACTAATTACACTGCTTCAAAAAACTAAATATAGAAAAAAAACCTTTAATATGTCCAAACACAAATGCTCTACAAAGCTAACTTAACAATAAAATGAATACTGCCTAATACACAGTTAGCACACAGTAAATATTTATCAAACAAACAAATGGAACAAAGAGAGTTAATAGCTATTGGGTTAGAAGGAGAGTTGTGGTGAGCTTAGGGACAAGAAGGAAGATCTGTATGAAGGGATTGCTTTGCGTAACACTTCACACACACACAGACACCTTCCGAACTTTAAGCTTTTCTAAGTACACTATGAAATGAAATCTCCTTTGAACATCTTTTAAAGAAAATTCTAGAAATAAATCATTTTAAAATAATTATTTTTTGGATATAAGACTAATACTTAAAATCCACAATTCTGATAATCTATTGTCTTAAGAAAAGTGTAGTAGTGAGTAAAATTTATTTTTAAAAAGGTAGTTTTCAAAACCAGAATTCATTTCTCCCTAGACTATACTGGCCTTAAACATACCCAAACTCCATAACAATAGCAACTATAATAATAAGAAGCTCAAATTCAATGTTAAAATATCTTTAATGACCCTTTATATCAAATATAGGCTTAGTATTTACAGACAAAATACATCAGAGATCTGGTGCAATAAAAATTGGAGGAAACGTTTTTATGTTTAGATCAGCTGTTTTTCAAAGGTATTCATGAATTAATCTTCCAGAAAATTCTCTGATTCATATATAAACTTGTATGACTCAGCATATCCATTGCTAATCTACACTAAATATTTAAATACCCATGACAGGCATTCAACAGAAGTTTGCTGAAGGAGTGCATTTTAGGTTTCCACCAAGTATAAAAGAGGAGGCTAAGGTAGTTTATGTAGATGGTAGACGGTACCTTAGGTTAAAAGTAGTTATGAAAACTCATGAACAGTTAGGATCCAGCATCATCTGACCACCCCTTCAACCTTATCTCTTACAAGCTGCTGCTTCACTAGTTTCCAGCTGCCTTTTAAATCCAGCAACTTGCCAAGCTCCTTTTAGTCTGGAGTCTTCTCACAGGCTGTACACTTGCCGGGAAAACACTCCATCAACCCACTTTCCTTCTGACATCATTCATGTTTTGAGATTCCTCTATGATCATACCATCTAAAGAATGTTGTCCACACTCTGCATGTTCCATCTCAGTATTCCTTTTTTCCTACATGGTATTAATTGCTATGAGCTGGAACCAACTCGACGGCGAAGGGTTTATAAGCATTTTTATCAAAGTAATACATGACCATAGTACTAAAATAATTGTAATGAAAAAAGAGCAGTACCCCATCTTAACCAGCTTTCTACCCTGAGTCCCATTTCAAGTCCTTGGGTTACTAACGAGATCTGTTGCTAAGTATTTAAGAATCTGTAGGTAAGTGGAACAGGTGCATGTGGTTCTTATTTAGCCTTACTTTAGTGCAAGAAAAGCCTTGAAGCCTTTTCAATGTTGTAAAAGCTGCATGTGCAGCAAGTGAAGATGACTGATGAATTTGTTATGAGTAGGGATTGGTTCAATCCTTTCACAGTGAGGGCAAATTTACATAACATTAAAGGGCAAGTACTAGTCTGTAAGTTGGACGTTCATAACTTGGGGACTTACTGTATTTTACCTGTTTTTTTTTTTTCCTTTTTTTTTTTCCATGAGCCCTAGTGGCGCAGTGGTTAAGAGCTACAGCTGCTAACCAAAAGGTCGGCAGTTCAAATCCACCAGCCGCTCCTTGGAAACCCTATAGGGCAGTTCTAGTCTGTCCTTATAGAGTCGCTATGAGTCAGAATTGACTTGACAGCAATGGGTTTGGTTTTTTTTTAGTTTAGTTTTCTTTTCCCCTCTGATTTCTACTTGCATATTTCTAAATAAGATGATTTATACTACAATTTCTTAATTTATCAATTTTATATATCAGGAAAAAAAATAATGTTTTTCCCCCATACTCATTCTTTCATGGTGCTGCTCTTCACCCTTCTCTTTTTGTAACTTCCACAAAGCCAAGCCATCATCTGCCTAGTTTAGGCATGTAGTCATATTCAAAGAATGTCTGACATCCAAAAAATAATTGTCTCATATTTTTGTTTGCTTATGCTTCTTTGTCTCTATCACAACTTCTTTCCAAATTCTCTAAGGGAATTATAAAATCCTCACTAGTACATTCAACACCACATAACCTACCAGTTCATTTTTTTCTATGAAGATATCTCTCCTTGTGCCCTCCACTCCCTATATCCAATGGATATTGCTTACTCTCTAAACCTGCTGAATTATTGTAGATCTGGAACTTCTCTTTGCCTTTTTCCTAAATTTGATCCCATTTCCTGGATTTTGTGGCTCCCTGTTTCTAGGTTTACTAGCTCATTCTTGAGCTTCCTGTAAAAGGATACAATCGATCTAATACTCTAAAGACCTCACATCTATGAAAATATATTTATTTTACCCTAACAATCCATAGTTTGGCTGGGTATAGAACTATAAGTGAGAAATTATTTTTCCTCTGAAATTTTAAGGCATTGCTCCATTTTCTTCTAATTTCCAGTTCCAGAATTTCAATTCTTATTTCTGACTCTTTGTATGTGACTTGATATTTCTCTCCTTGGGAAATTTTAAGATTCTTTCTGTATTCTCTATATTGAACATGTGTTGATAATGTGCCTCCTTGTTATGTGCTGTACTTTGTAGTTCAATATTGTACTGGACTCTCAGTAGCATCTTCGATTTGGAGCCACTGTCTTTTTTTTAAATAGTTGTTGCCCTCTGTTTTTCCTTTCTAGAATTTCTACTAGTTAAATGCCTGTACTTCTGGGGCTGATTCCCTAATTTTCATTCTTTTCCCCCATATTGTCTATCTCTTTGACTTTTCTGGGAGATTTGCTCAACTTTATTTTCCAACCTTTCCACTCAATAATGAATTTAGAAGAGCCCTTTCTTGTGTTCTGATTATTCCCTTTATAAAACATCCAGCTCACATCAATGGATGTTATATCTTTTCAATTCTAAGGATAAAAAAATATATATTTTTAATTCTTTCTTCTGTTCCCTCTAGCATCTCTATTTTCTTCAAGTTTCTTTTTTCCTGTTTATTTCATTTGGTTTGTAATTCAAGGCTTTCCTAAAATAACTGGTTACCTTGTGTTTTCTGTTCACATTTAAGAGGTGGGCATCCAAGAACTGACTAGAGGTTTTGTGCGTGTGAGCTCCAAGGTAGGCTCACTGGGTAGGAACATAGCCTTTTGGCAAGGACTTGATAGTTTCACTAGGTAACACCCAAATGTTAGGACTTGAGTTTTGTTTTTGTTTTTTTTAAACTATGAGGTCATTCAACTTCTTTACAGAAAAATCTTCCAAATTCCTGTCTGGAAGCCCCAAGAGAGTAGAATGTGACCCAGTTGTCACAGTACTGGAATTAAGCTACGTGAAGGGACTGGGAAGGGGTTCTTTCATCATTCAGTATATAGACTTTCCTTTAAGCCCTAAATTTTCAGTATGGCATCTTCCCCAACCTCTGCTGGGCCTGGTCTCCCCATGTCTGGAGCCTCCCTGGCTTAATTTTTCTATGTAATATATTTTCCAAATCAGTATCTCTGCCAGGGTAGGAAGAGGCAAGCGGCCTGACTGCTGGGAAGATGGAGTAAGGAACTTGGCATCATCTCCTGTTCTTCATACGGATTTTATAATGGTTTCCACTTTTCAGCCTTTATGACACCCAAAAACATGGATAATTGAAGATAATCATCTTTATTTTCTATTTCATTTCATGGCCTATACAACAGACAAAGTTCACCTTGTGGGAACAACCCGTTTTTAAATGTGGAAATAATGAACAGATAATATACTTGGTGATATTCAACTCATCAGTGACTTGAGAACCACATATCATCATTCAATGTAATTTTCTCTAAACAGTTTAGCATTTCTAAAATTGAAGCTTCCAATTTCTGGTAGATTTGATCATTTTGTTCCCTAGCTGAAGGCATTTGACATGAAACTGCCTGCTTAGCTCGAATAAACTGCCCAGGTTGCTCAGGAATAAAAAGTAATTTTAAAATTCCACTATGAAATCTCCTTATTTCTTCCTATTTTCAAGGCTCTTCCTTTGTCTGAATATCTTTTTCTTTTAATAACTGCAAACAATACTGTTCTAACTGGTCATATTTTCAATGCGATTTTAGACATTTGTAAGTGTGTATTTTAAAACAAAGGGTACAAAATTAGTCTCCTGCGCCCTGAATGATTCCCAGGTACCTGATTGGTTCATTTAATAAAATCCACTTAGCATGTGGCATTAGTATTTATCTCTAAAATTATTATCCTTATGACTATAATGCCTAGTTACCTGAAAAATGGTAAAAAAAAAAAAAAGAGGAGGAAGCTAATCTTTGCACTCTTGTGATTTCCCAGTTTCTGACATTTTCAGTTTGATTATCCATGCTATCAGTTCTATTCTGAAAATTTAATTCTGTCAGGGAGCAAGGGAAAATGAAAAAAACTAAAGACACAGGAGAAAGATTCAAAGGACTAATAGACCACAACTACCATGGCCTCCACCAGACTGAGTCCAGCACAACTAGATGGTGCCCGAGAACCACCACTGACTGGTCTAACAGGGATCACAATAGAGGGTTCCAGACGGAGCTATAGAAAAATGTAGAACAACATTCTAACTCAAAAAAAGACCAGACTTACTGGCCTGACAGAAACTGGAGAAACGCTGAAAGTATGGCCCTCGACACTCTTTTTAGCTCAGTAATGATGTCACTCCAGAGGTTCACCTTTTAGCCAAATATTAGACAGACCCACAGGACAAAATGAGACTAAACGGGCACACCAGCCCAGGGGCAAGGACTAGAAGGCAGGAGGAGACAGGAAAGCTGGTAATAGGGAACCCAAGGTTGAGAAGGGAGAGTACTGAGATATCTTGGGGTTGTTAACCAATGTCATAAAACAATATATGTCCTGTTTAATGAGAAGCTAGTTTGTTCTGTAAACCATCATCTAAAGTACAATAAAAAGAATTCATAAACAAAAAATTTAATTCTGTCAGGATTATAGTTTTAAATTCCACAGAAACTAAGACCTCAAATTTGCCTCAAACCAGGTAAAATGTAGCAAAATTTCTAGTTCTACCACCAACCTGCTATAATTTTTTAAAGCAAGCTCAGTGCTGAGGCCAAAGGAGGGATGGCAGAGAGGGTAGACAATGACCACTGAAGACAGACCCTGACTGCTCAGGGAGAGCAAGCGGGTCTGAAACGAATTGCATTCATTGGGCAATGACTTCCTCCACACTAAAGGGTAACCTAGTCTTTTTCAGGATTTGGTTATATAACAGAAAATAATCACAACATTTTAAAAATATGAGCCAACTCCAGTGTTCTCTACACTTGTAAACTGAACTTACCCTATATTCTCTAGGGATATCTCATTTACATATATATCCTGATACCTTGTGTGTATATATGTCAAGATCAAGAAAATGAAAACTGATTTGGTCATGTTAAGAAGAGTCAAACACAAAATTCAGGGAAACAAATATAAGTGAGTAAATATGGCCATATTTTATATCTAGAGGTTGGTAAAGTAGAGGGTCAGTGAAAAGGAGGGAAACCCTCACTGAGATGGACTGACTCAATAGCCAAAACAATGGACTCAAATATACCAAGGATCATTAAGATGGTGCAGGACTGGGTAATGTTTCATTCTTTTATACATAAAGTCACTATGAGTCAGAGCTGACTCTACAGCAACTAACAACAACAACAGCAAGGTACAAATGGTATAACTTGGAATCCTGGCTCCAAATCTTCCTAGTTGCCTGTCGTTAACCTTTGTTTCCTCATCTGTAAAAAAGGCATAAGAACAACCCTCCTTGTATGAACATTGGAAAAACAAAATGAAATAAACCCATATAGCACTAAACATATTGCCCAGCACATAGTAAGTACTCAGTACATAGTAGTTATCATATAATGATCATAACTATTCTGGATCCTAAATATATTTTTCCAGTTGAAGATATCATTATCCCCTTAAACTAAGAACTGTCTAGAAAATGCATCATCCACATCACTTCCTTGTTTCTATTAATGATACTACCATCCTCCAAGTGGTAAGGGAGCTCCATCTAAGCCCAGAATTTAGACGTTGATACATCCGGCTCCTCCCATATTACATGTGGTACAGTTGTATTTTTAGGATCTATCATCCTTTTTGGACTTATTTTTAGCTTCAGACAATGGAATCATACTTATTTTTTCCTTTTGCTTTGTGAAATCTACATTTCTAAAATACAAGATACGTATTTGCCTATGTCATTCCTTTCTGTGACTGTTAAAAACTTTGAATTTATTGTCAAACACACACATACACGCACACACACCACTCTCTGATGGAGATATGGACAGAAAGGTCAGCAATATATAAATTCATTATGGTGTTTTGTTACATCTGAAAACACCTTTAGCCAGGACAAATGGAAATAGGATGTGGTGTACTACCCCCACATTTAAGGCATCCTCAAGCTAAGGGTATGGTATTTCAACTTAGCTACATAAACATTTTTAATACTTACCAAGGTTGGCAAGAATAATCTACTGGTTTGGGCACCTACAACATAAAAAGGCAAAAATAGATTAAGTTTACTTAAGGGAAGCTCTTTGAAATCAATCGTCAATCTAGTTCAGCTGAGTCAGCTCTATAAAACCCTAAGTAGCACAGTCCTGGAACCACCCACTGGCAATTTTATACAGAGTGAATCAAAGTATATGCCAGATAAGTAGAACATAATTCATTTCACTTTAATTCATTCTTTCATTCATTTTACTGCCACTGTACCTCCAAGAAGAAAGATATGCAGGGAAAAAATATGAACTGGAAACTTTCAGTTTTATTTTCAAGGCAATTTAATCCTATCACAGAAAATTAAAACAAAAATGTTATGAAGAAAACCAAATAGCACTTTGCTTTCCCAAGATTAAGAAAACATGTTAAATAAACAACATATACTAAATGTAGACTCTTATTTTGTAAAACAAATTCAAAACTCTGCTCTGATTTTGAAGTCTACTGACCAAAAAACCTTTTATTCAGGAAAAAATTGCGGAAAATATTTATTTTTCCCCTTTCTCACTCCTATAAAGCTTCACATAAGAGAAAAATATTGCATTTTCTGTGCAAATAAAGAAAGAAAAGCTCTTATAGTTGCTGATGGCAACTAGTAAATGAACGAAGCTAAAGAAGGTATACTAATATTCACCAAATGACAAATAGAACACATACCATGAAGAGGGGGACAAAGTTTATAAATTCTTGAGAAAAGACTGGGAGTACAAAGAGTTTGTCTTATATTCAGAAAGTTTTCATGAAATCTTTGAGTCTTTGATATTTATATTCCATGCTACTTTTGGACCTTTTTATTTTGGATAATTAAATATACTGTTGCCTTCAATTATAACAATAAAAATATAGTATTTCAGAGGTTTGATCAGTGTGAACATGTGTCCATCTATGTCAATTTTCACAGAGTGCTGTTACTATTTTTCCCTTCTGGGTTAAGAGCTATAGATCAAAAAATTATCTTTCTGGTCAAAACATCCCTATGGTTACTAATATTTAAATTTTAAATTTTTTTATCCTATGGTTTACATTTTAGCACCTTGTAAAATCCTGACACATAACAATTAATACTGAAAGGAGATTATATCCATTCAAATCTTGCAAATAGAAATCAATCTTCAATTGTTTCCCCTTTGATGAGATACACAGTTTCCGAAATCTGATGGAAAAAATATTTCCTCCCTCTTTCTCCTTCTTTGTATACTTTAAACATGCTTATTCCAAGCCAATTTCTCTATCCATGAAGAACAAGAAAAAGGAGATAGGAAAAAGGAGAGCAAGAAACTTTAACGTATTCTGTCTGTGGATTCTCTAGCTGGGAAAAAGCTGGAGACCCACAAAGATGAAGGGTGACACAATTCTACAGCAGAACAGATTTCTGTGGCTGTTCCATCTTGAAGTAGCCTACTGGGGCATTTTCTTTCTTCAGTAAGTTATTATGATGTGAGAACAGCCATGATTACTGGTCTCAGCTATGATCCCTACAGCCAGGGTGGGGTCTTGTCCTTTTCCATGTGTCATGGGCCTTTCCCACTCCTCTGTGTACTATGGGTCTCTGCCTGAAGAGGTTTCGTATTTAAGACTATAGATACTGTTATTTTGAGTACTATTTCATACTAGATCATACATTGACCATTTTTCCCTAATGCCTTTTCCTACCTTCATCATAGGTAATTTACATAGTTACACTTCTGCTATAGACATATAGTTTTAAAAAATACTTTATTAAGAATATATCAAATATATAAAATAGTAATAATAAGATATATGCTTCTTCCTGAGGCACATATTATAAAATTTCCTATAGTGAGAAAGAAAATGAGCTTTGTCTGTGTTTGTTTGGTTAGAAATGTCATTATTTCATCCTTATTTATGAGAGAGATTTGATGATTATAAATATCTAAGTTAACAGTAATTTTAAAACTTTGAACAATTATTTTTATTGCCTCATATATTGTTTCAAATACTGTAGTTTTCAGTTCTAAAATTTTTTACAGTTCTTATTTTTGTGCTGAGATTTCCTATCCATTAGGAACATAGTTTCCTTTATGTCTTTGAGGACAGTTATAATAGCTGCTTTTAAAATCCTTGCCTGCTAATTCTATCATTTGGGTCATCTCAGGGTTAGTCTTCTTTGATCATCTATTTCTCTTGAGTATGATTCATGTTTTTCTGTTTCTTTGCATATTGAGTAGTTTTGCATTGTATTTTGAGTAATTTGAATGATATGTTGTTCAGGCTCTAGATTCTGTTATGTTCTTACAAAGAGTGTTGTACATGTTTTGTTTTAAGAAGGTAGTTTACTTGGTTGAACTCCAACTGCAAACTCTGTGTCTCCTGTGGTGAAAAACAGCTGAATCCTTAGTTTAGTTCTTTTGAACTAAGTTGAGCTGTTTGGAGTCTACATTGCTCATCCAGAGACTGAGGCGGAGTTTATACACAGAATTGGAGGTTCCCCCTCTCTGGCTCTTTCCTTTTTGGGATTTCCCACCTTCCCTTCTAGCTGTTGTAGTTGCTCTAAATTCAGTACTTTGGTTCTTCACTCCAGTAATACTGTGGGTTTTCTATCCAAATTTTAGCTACTCTGCATGGTGTAGCATAGTCATAAAACAGTCATAAAATCAGGAAATTCACCTAGTACCACTTCCTTTCTCCAAGTTTTAACATCCTCCTTAGACAGTAGCTTCAGATCTTTTTTTTAATATTTTGTCCAGAGTTTATAATCGTTATCTGTGGTAGGACTGGTCCAAAAGACCAATCCAATAGACTCAACAATTACCAGAAGTAAAACTCTTGTTGCTTCCATTACTGCTGCTCTGAGCTGAGAGTCTAATCATCAGTTCTTTGTAGGTAATCTGTCTTTTGTCTTTGGTTGGTTTTAATATTTTCTCATTTTCTTTGATATTATGCAGTTTCACTAAAATGTATCTGGTGTTCATTAATTTTAACTTACTCTTTTGGACTCTTCGTGTGAAGATTAATTTTATCAGAGTCTGGAAAGTTCCCAGTCATTATTTGTTTCTCCACAATTATCTCTATTCTCTTCTTCAACTGGATGTATTTGAACTTCTCACCCTATTCTCTGTTATATTTTCTATTTGTTCATCTCTCTGGGAAGTTATCTAACAAATTTCTTCAGATTTCTCTTCCAATTTCCTACACAATTGTCTCTTATATGCCATGTAATGTGCCCATTAAGGTTTTCATTTCTTTTTTATTTTTAGAAGTTCTATCTGATTCCTTTTGAAATACACCCAATTTGGATAGTGTTTTATTCCCCTATTAGACTTCTAAACCTTTTTTGTTTTTCAACCATATTAAACCTAAAAATATTTATTTAGTATCTGATAATTTTAATATCTGCTATCTTTGTGGATCTAATTGTGGATTCTATTGTTTCTTCTGCTTTTTGTTCAAGGTGGTTTGTTTCCTCATGAATTTAATGATTTCAGATTGTGAACTCATGTTTCCTGAAATTTAATCTGTGAAATCCTTTCAGGACTATGCACAAAGTGGCTGAAATTTAGAGGAATTTGTGTTTTCACATGTTATGATTTTAGGGGCAAAAATCAACAAGGAATAACTTTAAAGTATATTTTGAGCTTACATTTATTTAGGCCACAGATATAGTATGAATCCTAGACCCAAACCTGCATGGTTTTTGGATTTAAGGTCAGAAATTCTTAGGGAGATTGCTCTCTTTTTTCTATTCCACTTAGAGCCAAGATCAAGATAGGCATATGTTCTTCTTTGGGATGAGTTTTTTCCTAGTTCACCCACTGAGGGTTCCTGGATTTACACAGACATCTGAGCTTGCACTGTGCTACAACTTTAGGCTTGGTCTCCAGTTACCCATATTGCCAGAAATGAAGTTGTCTCATTCACGCTGCTGCCATGTTTTGCTATGTTCTAGGTTCCTGTCTGTATACCTCAGGACTTTTTAGGAAACTGGTATAGCAGATACAGGAAGATAATTTGTCAGCTCAGAATGGAATACTGAGCACTGTTCATGGACTGCTGATAAACAATATAATAGTCCCAAGGTCAAAGGAGATACCATTTTTCAAATTACCTCAACTATTCTACCTCCAATCTCCTCTCTCTTTCCACTCTTCTTCACTTAACTTGTCCTACAACCAACAAACGAACTTATAATTTCATTAAGTGGCAAAATTTTAGTATCTATTTATAAACTTTAAGCTATAAAACTAATCATACTGGTTTTATAATTCTCTGTTACTCTAAAAGTCTATTATCTTAAAATTTCTAAACAGTTTTCACTTTCTAACCACTAACTGGATCACCAAATACTATACAATATGACTCTATAAGCTGATTTAATTAGTATTTACCATACAGCTAAGGACTTTCATTTACTTTTACACTCTTTGCTCATTCACTCAACAGCAAAATTTTATTAGATACCTACTATGTACAGGATGGAGCCCTGGTGGCTCAGTGGTTAAGAGCTACTGCTGCTAACCAAAGAGGTCGGCAGTTCAAATCCACCAGCCGCTCCCTGGAAACCCTATGGGGCAGTTTTCTCTGTCCTATAGGGTCACTAGGAGTCAGAATCAACTCAATGGCACTGGGTTTTGTGTTCAGGCTCAATGGCACTGGGTTTTGTGTTCAGGCTAGTTCTAAGATAAAACTTCAAATGCTCACTTTATACCTATTCAAGAGAATATAAACTGAAAATAGTACTTGGTATAAGAAAGACTTAACAGTCTTGATTTGATGTCTCTAAATTACCAAACACCTTAACATTAGAACGTATAATCTCTTGTCATCCTCCTACATATAAATACCATTGCATTAGGGATAGCAGGCCTGAATCTTGTTTATAAAAATGACAGATAACTATCTAAATGATCACTTTTGCTTATATAATTAAATAACAGTAGAATAAAAACTTCAACAATCCTTGATAAAAATATTATTTAAGGTAAGATAAAAATATATGACACTAAGTCACTGAACCAAGAGAATAGCAAATGTTCTAATGTTCTTTCATGCCCTCTGCCTTGTTAATTAAGCTTGAATGAGTGGAATAATGTATCCTATCGACTACACTCTGAAATAAAGAATGGCAGATATTCACATTGATAATATTAAAAAGAATGTCCAGTTTAGAAATCCAGGAAAGACTGACATATCGCACACAGGGTAGTTTAAGGAGGTCCCCCGACTAAGTCATCAACTCATTATATTATTAAGGAATTTCATTTCCTTAGAGTTAATAACTTAAAAAGTTTTACAGAAAAATCCACCCTAGACATCAAATTATGACAAAATCATGTTACCCTAAACTCCAATTTTTAAATCTCATAAAGCACCAGAAAGTACATTGTACATTGTAATGTTATTTGAGTAAATATTCATTCATTCTCCTTGTATCATCTTAATGTGTTTGATGTTCTCAGAACATTTCATTATGTCATTAAATACACAGTAATGACACACTAAAGCATGGAAAAATATATTGAGAGATTTGATGGAAGAATTTGTAGACTTTCATGGTTGCTTAGCACACTAGTTGAGGTAGAATCTCTCTCTGTAACCCAAAGTGCCTAGGGAATAGATTAGACCCTACTATTCTCACCTCAGGGGGAAAAGGAAACTTGTACAGTCCATCTAATCTGTAGCTTTGGTTTACTTCTTTCCAAAACCTTTTAGACAGCCTAATTTTGTTAATCCTACCAAGTTAAATTTTCCTCTTGCATGTTTCCTAATACTTAAAAAAAAAAAAAAAAAAAAAAAAATTACAGTAATAGAATCATAATAATGTTGGGATTTTAATAGCTTTGTCCACAGCTTTAAAACATGAAATAATATACTCCCTCCAGAAAGTATTAATAAAAGTAATGAGGAACCGAGCCAGATTCCTTTGTAGATTCTTAAACAATCAATCATAGCTTCAAAAACAGAACATAAAATAAAATACTGGTACTTACACATGGGCAAGGCTTGACAGCGTCACTTGGAAAAAATCCAACCTCTCCAGATGCAAAATTTCTACCCTAAATCAGAAAAAAACAATGCCAGTGTTGAGAACGAATTAACGACAAATGGTAATCCCATAACGCTGTTTACATAATGTTGTTACTTAGGATTGTCAGAACTACCTGCACGTTGTACCAGTCCTAAGCATTAACTTGCTACTGCTCAGGAAGGAATGTAGAAGCAGAGAGTTTTAACTGTTAAACTTTACATATCATTTCAAGTAATGGTCCTAAGAATTTAAGTTTCATTTTTCAAACTACCATTCATTTTTGGTAACTCTACAGCCTTCAACCTATAGGGATCATAGCATATTCTATCTTTCAATTTTATATTCACTAATACAAAAAACAGCTGCTGTGGAGTCAATTCCAATTCATGGTGACCCCATGTGTGTCTGAGAAGAACTGTGCTCCATAAAATTTTCAATGGCTGATTTTTCAGATGTAGATCACTAAGCCTTTCTTTGGAGGTGCCTCTGGGTGGACTAAAACCTCCAACCTTTTGGTTAGCAGCCAAGCACATTAATCATTTGCACCATGAAGGAGCCCTCATTAATATAAGGAACACATAAAAAAATCAAACCTGTTGCCATCGACTTGATTCCAACTCATAGTGACCCTACAGAACAGAGGAGAACTGCCCCATAGGGTTTCCAAGGAGCACCTGGTGGATTTGAACTGCCGACCTTTTGGTTAGCAGGCAAACTCTTAACTACTACCCCCGCCAACAGGGTTTCCTCATTAATACAAAAGAAAAGAAAAAACCAAACCCGTTGCCATCGAGTCTATTCCAACTCATTAATACAAGTAGAGTGTAAATCACATTGGTTTTGTGTAGCCTCACACTTAATTAGGAAATCAACTTACATGGCTACTATTTATGTCATTAACAGAACACATGTAAACATTTCTCCAATAAGCAAAGAGGCATTTAAGACATGCAGACATGGAAAACAATGGTTTAAGTTTTAGATGATTTTCAAATTTAGGAGGAAGAACTAGGACAGTGAATAAGAAAATAGGAGAGTTAAGTTCTTGCAGGAGAGGAAGATAACTCAAAACGGCATTGTAAATGAGAGAAGAGGGGAGAAATTAACAGAATAAGGAAAATCAAAGCACAAAATGGAAAAACAAATACTTAAGAATTTGTTCTTGCAGATCCTTTGTCAAATTCCCCTTAAAAAGATCTCATGACACTAATTATACCATTGTTTCCGTTTTCAGAAAGACAAACTATACTCCAAACATACCACAGCAATCAGGATATGTAACTGCAAAATTCTTATGAGATTATTAATCTTTGTTTAGAAATTAGTCTTGTATTTTTTGCTATTCAGCAATTGCCTACTGCTCAGTACCTAATACAGGTAGATAGCATTAGGATTGAGTATTACATGTTCCATTATTTTTTACTTAAGAATAGTAACAAATAGTGATGTGAAAACATCCTATTTCTGGTGTGCCTATAGAGTTTGGCTACGAGTTTGTAGGGAAAATTAAAAAAAAAAAAAAAAAAGGGAATCTCGAATTTCAGAAAAGGAAGAAGGAAAAAAGAGAACAAAGGGAAGAGAGGTAAGAGGGAAGAGTGGAAAAGAAAAGGCAGGTGGAGTCGAAAAGCAGTGAGGTCAGACTGAAGAGGGGAAGGGGAAAAACTCAGGTGAAGGGGAAGAGAGAAGAGAGGTTAGGACTGAGACGAAGACCAATTAAATAACCAAACAAAGAGGTGTTAAGTTCTAAAACTGCACTGTGCTTGCGTATTTGAAAAGAAGTAGACGAGTAGTATGTTCATTCATTCTTAAGTCATTCAACAAATAACAAATTTAGTATTCATTTGGTTAGACACTGTATTTATGTAAAAATGCATAAAGAAGTTTCTGTTTCTCTGTATATTTTTGCATATTAATTATACTACAAACTAGAAAGTACTAAATATTGTTAGAAAGGTAGAGAGAAAGGGCTATGGAAATTAACTGAAGAGACTGAGTACTGGGGGTTTGCCTGAAAGCTACCTGGAAGAGGTAGCAATGAAATTTCACTTAGCTTTGTAAAATGTATAGGGTTTAAACAAGTGGAGAATCAAATGAAGGAGAAAAGTGCAGGGGCAGGAACTTATAGGATGTGCATAGGAAATGCAAGCAGTTTTCTTTAAACAGAGTCTAATAATGGCTAACGCTTTTTGAACCCTAACTATATGCGAGACATTGCTCTGAGTGCTTCATTTAATCTTTACAAATGATTCTTTGTGATAGGTCCAATTACTATTTCCATTTTACAGGTGAAGAAAATGAGACACAGAGAGGTTAAGTGATTTGACTGTGGTCACAAAGGTAGCACATAGCAGAGCCAGAATTCACACTCAGCTGTTCTGACCTCAGAGGGCTGCACTGCCTTTCTATACAAGCTTAAGACTCAAGAAGGAAGATAGTGCGGAATAAAGTTAAAAGGTAGTAGGAAAAAAAAATTGACTACAATATCTGAATTTTATCACTGTTGACGGAGTTTCAATAAATAAATGTGTTGCATATTTTAGCAAGAAACCAGCAATAACATGGAAGATAGGTTATAGATGCGTGTCATGGATTGAACTGTATCCCCCCCAAAATATCTGTCAACTTGGCTGGGTCATGATTCCCAGCATTGTATGATTGTGTACCATTTTGTAAATCCGATGTGATTTCCTTATGTGTTGTAAACTCTATATCACTATGATGAGGTTATACTGATGAGGTTTACAAGATTAGATAGTGTCTTAATCCAATCTCTTTTGAGATATAAAAGAGAGAAGTGAGTGGAGACACTTGGGAACCTCATACCACCAAGAAAGCAGAGCCGGGAGCAAAGCGCGTCCTTTGGACCTGAGGTTCCTGCGCAGAGAAGCTCCCAGACCAAGCGAAGACTGATGCATCACAAGGACCTTCCTCCAGAGTTGACAGAGAGAGAAAGCCTTCCTCTGGAGCTGAAGCCCTGAATTTGGACTTGTAGCCTACTGGACTGTGAGAGAATAAACTTCTTTTTGTAAAGCCATCAACTTGTGGTATTTCTGTTAGAGCAGCACTAGAGGACTAAGACAACGGGCATGACTTTGGAGGTAAGAATATCGTCAGGGAACTGGTACAATGGTAAAGGACATGGGAATGGAGGAGAGGAAACAGGTGCTGGAGATACTGCTTAACTAGAGTCAGGGGGACTTGCCTTCGGACTAGATATGGAAAGAGCAGATGGAGTTAAAGACTGAGGGAACATCCAAGACTGGAGTGGGAAGTGATTGTATAATCCATCCAAACAGGTAACACAGACTTAGTACATAAAGAGGGAAATTTATAAGACTGTCATGGGTGAAAATGTAGAGAAGAAGGTGGTAGATGAATTTAGAGAAGTTACTGTACCTAGAAGACAGGGAGGGACCACCATGAGGGAGGAGAATCAGAGATGAGAGTGATGGCAGCACAGTAACTATAAAGTTGGAATGAGGTGTTCCTTTCATTCAATTGTACTTACTGACTGCTTTATGGTGCTTTATTTAAAGCATGACTTTGAGATACAAGTAAATTAGTAAGGCATTTGAGAACTATAGCACTACCCAGACCCTTATATACAAATGCACTGCAATGCTACCTGACTGCAAAATATAAGGGTGTGTGGGTGGGGAACCACACACTGACAGAAGCTCAGAAGAGAAAAAGATAAAGGTGATTTCTTATAAAAGAAAAATAAGATCCTTAAGAGCCACTAAAGGAAATAAATCTATTTTGCAGGGGAAAGGCCTGAGGGAGAGCATTATAATGGTCTTTCAAAACTATATTTGAAGGCATATCAGCAAATTGGAATATTATGGCTATTATAAAAATGGTGAGCTGTCAATCCCTATTTTTCATCAGAAGAAGAACAAAAGGTATTAATCCATAGAATGCAGAGTTTGGGGGGAGCAGTATATTTTTGTGACCGTTTATGTTGGCCAATGTAATAGCACCTTCTTCAGAACAAAACTGACGAAGGGCCCTCATATTGATCAATTCCGTTCTTCCTCCAAAACTCAGTTCACATATCACCTCTCTTGCCATCTCTTCTATAAAACCTTCCTCAACCTGTAGATTCAGATTTAAACCCACCCCTGGTCTCTCACCGCACCTTCACATATTTCTACTATTACACATGCCGCCTGCAATCATTTCTTTACATGCTCTTCTTCATTACTTGACTGTAAGCTCTTTGAGGCCAGCGACAATGTCTCAGTCATTTTTGTGTAACAGAATGCCGGGAGGATAGTAGAAGTGTTTGTAAAATGAGGAATCGCTCAATATGAGATTCCTAAGACCCTCGACTCTTCACAGAAAAAAATGTATCACACTTTGTTTTCACACAGACAAGCACTGAGAAGCATTAAGTTGCCTTTTTATATATGAAAAATAGTGACCTATCCCTGACATTTAGTATAAGAAGCGTTGTGTAGGAGAGCACAATTCCACAAAATTATTAGAAGGGGAAGGGGACACAAAGAATGGAAAGATTAATAAATATTATAATTTATAATTCATGAAGGTGTATATACTGGCACAGCTTTTCTGTCTTTCCTTCTTCTGTTTAGAACCAAGGATTCAACCCAAGAGACAGGAATGGGAACTGAACCTCTTCTAGTTAGAAGAAGGGGCCATGGTTGTGAAACCAATGCCCTAAAACTGGGGTAAGCATATAATTTTCCATCTAAACCAAGCCCTTTGGAGAATTAGGGGGGAGCAATTAATAACTATGTCAGGACAACAGGTATAAACTGGGACTCTTCTGGGTAAGTCAGGACATATGGTCACTGTGATGGTTAAGATTGTGTGTCAACTTGGCTGGGCCATGATTCTCCATGTTTTAATGTAATCACTCCCATGATTGAATATACTGCGAGCAGCCAATCAGATGAAAGGGAGTCTCCTTGGGGGTGTGGCCCGCATCTATATATAAGCAGACATTCTGGCTTTTTGCTCTCTCTGGATCCTTCGGCTGCTTCCTGTCGTCTCATCTCCAGTTCT